ACCAACTTTCAACAACTTGGATGAATGGACCAATTCCTTGAAAAACACATATGACCAAAACTGAAATAAGAAACAGAAAAGCTAAACAGCCTCATATGTATTACAGAAATCAAATTTATAATAAAAGCTATCTCACAAAGACTTCTACTACTTATTAAGGATAAAATAATACTAAGCCAATAGAAGTTCTTTCAGAAATAAGTAGAGGGAACAATTGCCTTACAATCCAAGCATAATCTTGATCCCAAAATCTGAAAATAGGACAAATCAAGGCAACTACGGACCAAAGCCCTCATGAACACAGATGCAAAAATCCCTTAAAAAAAAAACATAGTGAAGCAAATCCAGCAATACAAGTTTGGTTTTCCATTAAAAAATATTTCTGCACTACTCCACATTAAAAGAATAAAAGAAAATCTGAAGAACATTTCAAGAGATGGAGAAAAGTCTTTGACAAAACTCAACATGTTAAGAATTTTTAGCAAACTAGGAGTAAAAGGGAACTTCCTCAAACAATTAATAGATAACTATGAAAACATTTAGCTAACATCATATCTAATTGTAAACAAATTCTTTTCCTCTAAGATCAGAAACGAGAGGTGTTTCCTCTCACCACTTCTATGGAACACGGTACTAGAGGCCCTAACTAATGCAATAAGTAAAGAAAAAGAAATAAAAGACCTAGAGATCAGGAAAAAATAATGAAATTGTGGTTAACTGGTATATGTTATGATTATGTATGTATAACCATCTAATCTGAACTTCTAATTTTTTTCATGCCATAATAAATGGTACTTACTAATCTAGTCATTAAAGAACACATCTAGAGAGACTGACTTATACTAACTTTGGTAGGAAGGAAGAAAATTCCCAATAAAACCATGAAGCTTGGTAGTAAGTACAAAGGTCAGAGTTACAACAAAGTTTTCATCTAGCCATGTTTTTCAAACCAAGGGATACAACCAAGGGATCCACATCAGTGGATCATGAAATTAATTTAAAGTATTAAAATCACCTTTATTTTTTAAAAAGATTTATTTATTTGAGAGAGAGAAAGAGAGTGAGTGAGCACACAGTGGGAGAGGGAGAAGCAGACTTCCTGCTGAGCAGGGAGCCTGACATGGGGCTCAATCCCAGGACCCCAGGATCATGACCTGAGCCGAAGGCAGATGCTTAACCAACTGAGCCACCCAGACGCCCCCTAAAATCACCTTTAAAAGGAGAATAAGAAACAAAAGAAAAAGAAAAATCAGACACATGAAATATATTAAGGGTGAGTTTTGTTTCACATGTATGAATATAGTAAAAGATATATTTCTAAGGGTTATACTTAAAAGATCTTAAAACACTGATTTAATGTAATAAGTAAGGGAGCACCTGGGTGGCTCAGATGGTTAAGCCTCCGCCTTTGGCTTGGGTCATGATCTCACATCCTGGGATTTAGCCCTGCGTTCGACTCCTCACTCAGTGGGGAGTCTGCTTCTCCCTCTCCCCCCACTCCCCGCTCATACTTGCTCACTCACTCATTCTCTCTCTCTCAAATAAACTTTAAAAAAATATAAGTAAGGATTTTATTATTTCATTAGAATTATAACCATATGCAAATTGATGACCTAACAACAAGAGTGTAACAGTATTTAGATAAGAACAGAGGAAAAGATCATTTTGTTATGGGAAAACTCTAGTAACCACCTATTTGGAAAGGTGTAGGAGGTTTCTGATATAAAGCAAATACATTTTAGCTGTGAGGCTTTCACTTCAAATATATATTAGAAATCTCATTATGCTAGGGCACCTGGGTGGCATAGTCAGTTAAGTGTCTGACTCTTGGTTTCGTTCAGGTCGTGATCTCGGGGTCATGAGATTGAGCCCCCCATCAGGCTCCGAGCTCAGCATGGAGTCTGCTCGAGTTTCTCTCTTCCTCTCCCTCTGTCCCTCCCACTCGTTCTCTTTCTCTCAGATAAATAAATCTTAAAAAAAAAAAGAAAAAGAAAGAAATCTCATTATGCTAAAAGCAGAAAGACTGCATGTCAACAATTCTTGAGTGCTCTTGCTGACAATTTCATAATTCTGAAATCAGAGAAGTGGTAAACATTTGAATCATAAAATCTGGATTTGAAAGAGATCAGAAATTTCATTCACCCCGTTAAGCGCTGAATTTGTGTTGTGCCCCCTCTCTCCGCCCCCCCGCCGCAATTCCCAAAGTCATTTGTTGAAGCCCTAACCCACAGAATATAACCATATTTAGAAATACGACTTTTAAGCAGTAATTAAGTTCAAATGGGGTCATTAGGGTAGGCCCTAATCCTGTTATGAGTGGTGTCCTTACAAGAAGAGATTACAACAGACAACACAAAGGACTGAGGGGCAACTATGGGAGGACACAGCAAGAAGGCAGCCCTAGCAAACTAATACACATACTTATGTTCATAAATTAACAACTTATGTTTGGTTTACCTAAATACTCTCATGGCTAATTTATACAAAATTAAGACCAGAATACAGATTAAAACTTGTTAGCAATATAAAAATATAAAAATGGGTCAGTAATGGTAAAATGGAAAGCACCAACAGCCACTGATCCTAGAAATCATAATAGTAACAGAAGAGCAAAAAAGTAGGGGGATACGAGGAGAGCAAGTTTCAGAAAGTCAGACTCCTGAAACAGGCATGAAAGCAATGTCAGATACCTTAGAAAGGATTACAGCTCAAAAGAGAAAGCAAGAAGGTTTGTCTAAAAAGTTCAATTCTAGCCACATAACTTTAAAAGTCCAAAAGCAGACAAAAAGGAACGGTACCAAAGAAAGAAAAAAGGCAGCACAGGAAGTTATCTAACTGACTTGGTTTTTAAAAGGACACTTGTAGAGATAAGAAATGTAGTTTATCATCTAGTCAGACTAAAGGAGATGAAGATATATGCAAAAAGTACTAGGGGGAAAAACTTCCTATAAAAAGAATAAGCTTCAGGAAGCTCTGAAACGATGATAGAATATAAATAAAATGACAAAGTGGGAAGGTAGTATAAAAGATTCAATTCTTATTTGCTTTCATCAAGAAGAATTTTCAATCCTTACACAAGATAGGTGATGCTCCTAAGACATTATCTAGCTACTTTGAGACAAAATGGTATAAGAGAAAGAGCACAGGTATCAGAGTCAAATGTAACCTGGGTTTAAATCTCAGCATCGTCTTTATTGTAGAGGCAATAGTGCATAGTGGGTTAGAAGTGTAGGCCCTGAAGCCAGGGAATTTGGGTTTCAATTCCAGTGTTGCCACTTAAAGCTAAGTAACCCTGCAAAAGTTATTTAACCTTCCTGTGCCTTAGTTTCCTTATCTGTAATATAGAGATGATAGAACCTACTTCATATGGTTCATACAGCTTAAAGAAGTTATTACACTTAAAGCACTGAGAACAGTGTATGACATATACTAATAGCTCAGTAACTGATAGTAATTACTGTTGCATTTGTTCTTTATTGTTCGTTTTTATCCTGGACATTTATTACAATTACTGTTGTTAATGACATGTTCAAGTTACTGAAATTCACTAAGCCTAAATTTTTCTCTTCTCTAAACTATCAAAAGATAGATATATGAATTAAGGAGATACAAGATATAAAGCACCTAATAAATATACTCAATAAACATTACCTGCCAACCCCTACCCACATTTTGAAAAAGACAACACTGTACTTAAGATACTGAACATAAGCAAGCATTGTATAGCTTCTCAATAAAACTTTAGAATATATTATCAAAGAGATGATTTAATGACAATGAGATAAGAAATAACAATTAGAAGCCAGTATAAGCTCAGGGTTAGTAAACTGGGGGCGGGGGGGGGGGGAAACAGTATACCTTGATTTTAGCAAGACATTCCAATACTAATTTTCATAATAACCTTATAGAATACAATAAAAAAAAATCTGGATGATTAACAGTACAATTAAATGAATCTGAAGCTGCAGGAAAACTCTTGCCCCCCAAAATTACTGAAAAAGACGTTAGTGTGCAAACAGGTTTTTAGTAGCCCTATCTTATTTAACATCTTTAAGCAGCCATAATGAAAAATGCAAGATTTTGGTTTAAAGAAAATAGAAACTTGACAGAAATTTCCATAGGAAAACCCTGAATGTGTAGTTGACATGGGCAAAAATCTGCTAACCAACAAAGATAGATCTTACTACTGAAGAAGAAAAAATCATCATATGTTATGCAATGGTGCCACATTAACAGAAGAATGCCCAGATCAAAAGAATATGAACAGAAGTCAGAAGACACAGGTAAAACCTATCTATCAAATTTCTTTTTTTGAACCAAAATCTTGTATTTTTCCTTAATGTCTACATTACATACAATGAATGAATGACAGTAACACTATTTATAGAGTACGTTAAAATTTCTCAAACTGCTTCTTCTGTTTGCCATCTAATGTAAAAACAACTCTGAGACAGATAAAGCAGTTAGAATTAGTCCCATTTTACTGTCTTCTTGAGGTTCAGAGGGGTAAATGAGTTTCCTCAGATCAAGTTGATCCAAAGTACAAATGTGGAGCATGTAACTCCTAGTCAGTGTCCATTTTTTCTTTAATAACTTTTTTTTCCTCTTTAATAAAGTAATACATTCATTATAAAGTGTTAGAATTCAGACAGAAAAATCATCTCCCTAATCAGACACTGTATTAATATTAACAAGAAAATTTAACTTTTCTCTGAAATGAAAAAAAATGGAAGTGAGAGAGACAATTCACATAAAATAAGGAAAAATTTCTTTTACTTTTCATAATACTATGCTGAAAAAAAAGGAGGCTAAATGGATCAGTTAAGTAGAATAAATGTTTTCTTGAATGGCCATTAAATATTTTTCATGTTATTAACTCCTAAAAATGTAAACATTCCCTTAATCTACTAGCAATATTAGATTTCTCATCTTTGCATGCTTAAAGAAAACCACCTAAATTTTAATTTTAATGATGTAAGTACAAGTAGTAAAACCATTACCTTGGGTGTGCTTCCTTTAATGAATTTTTTAATTGAAGACAACAAGCCGGTTTCATTTTTCGGTGTTTTTTCTCCCCCTGAAGGCAGGCTATCATCAACCTCTGAATATTTCCTCTTTGCTCTAGCAGTACGTTGTGTTTGGATTTGATTTGATTGCTGAGAAGCTTTCCGTGTTCTCAGCCTCATCTTTATGAGTGCCACATATAAAACTATAAGAGAAAAATAACAAGGGTTATTACAATTAAACCTAGCATACCAAAATGTGTCCAGCTTATATAAGAAAAATCTCTTGGTCCAAGTCTCTAAGGGATTACAATAAGAAACCAACATTTTAAGTGAAAGGTTGCTTTTTTACACATTATCCCAAGTAACCTTCCCACCAACTTCTAAAACATTACACCCTATGATCTAACAAAAATATGAGTAACACCAGGGTGCCTGGGTGACTCAGTCTTAAAAGGTAAGCGTCCAACTCTTGATTTTGGCTCAGGTCATGATCTCAGGGTTGTGAGATCAAGCCCCATGTCAGGCTCCAGTGCTGGGTATGGAGCCTGCTTAAGATTCTCTTTCTCCCTCTCCAAAAAAAAGAGTAACACCAAAAAGAGTGTGCACACTCTTTTCATAGCACTATGCTGCCTCCACCCATGCTGACCATTATCATTCATTAAATCATTCATTCAGCAAGTATTTATTGAGCACTTAACCACATTCAAGGCACTGGGCTAGGCTGAGCACCTAGTAAATAGTAAACAACATATGGAAGGTTTTTTCCACAATGTAGTGGAAAAACCCTCAGTGAACGAATTAATTACATGAGCATGATTCTAATGATCAACAATCATACAAGTGTAAGAAGCGCAGCTGGATCATTCAATTTATAAGATAATTTGATCCTACTACACATAATGATACTTTAAAAGCTGAATTCCCATTAGAAAGAAAATATGAGGTAATCTACTTGGAATTCTCTCACTTTATGGATGAGAAAATTAATGGCTGGCAAAACTGTACCAAGACACAGAAATGGTTAAGTACATACCCTAAATTAGAATCTGAAGTAGAATATAAAAATTACCAAACTAAGAATTAAGAAATGTGAATTCAATCATAGCTAAACTATAGTCACTTGTTTTTTCACCTGTATAAAGAATACATTCATCTTACCATCCTGAGTCTCACAATGAAAAAGGAATTAGAAAAGGCTATGAAGTACAGAGAACAACACTACTACTCACAACAGTGAATGCATTCACAGAAAAGTCTAACTCCATTTAAGCATTCTAAACTCCTAAAGATGCAGAAATTCCTGGCAAAGGATAGGGTCTTCACCAACCAATTAAGAAGCTTAAGACATTGTGTCTTTACTAATTCAACCTAACAGTCACAGAAAAAAAGTTAAAAACTTTTAGAAAGTTATATATATATAATCTACTCCAACAAAAAACCCCAAACTCTAATGATTCACTAGAGGAGTCCCTAAATATCTTTACAAACAACTATTTTTTTCCTAGCAGCAAATGGTGCTCAGTTTACACTGCCATCCCAAAATAAAAAATACTGCCTTTTCTCCTAAAGAGTCCATGTAACTTCTAAAGTGATTTACCATTCAAGGCCTGTATTATTTACTTTAAAACCCTACTTAGAGTGCATAAATGTTGTCTTAATTCCTTAGTTATTGAGCACAGCACACCTTAGAAAAGGAAAATTCCCATATAGAAAAATGCAAGGGGGAATTTCTCAAAACTATTTTTAATCAATTTCAGTAATTTTTTTAAGTTTTATCAAAAATACCCAAGAATTAATCTATCTTAAGCCCAGAATCATTAAATGGAAATTATAAAACCTTATGAAATAATACACTGATGTAAAGTAGGTCTTAAAAGACTAAAGGCACATAGGTAAGTCCAGTCTTCCGAAGTTTGGTTGATTAAAATTTAAATACCTATGGTCACCTGCTACTAGAATATTAAGGATGAAAACTATAACCTCTGCCCATGAGAATCAAAAAGTCTGGCAGGTAAGTATACATATCATAGTGTATATATAAAATGCTAGATCTCTCCGCATGAAAAGAGTGAAGACCGTTCTGGGAAAGCTTAGGAGAAAGGTCCTTTAAACTCAAAAATAATCAGTGGGCATTTACTGGAAAGAAAGACAAGAGCATTCAAAGAAGGAGCTGAAAAGTAGGTTTTTCTCCATTCCAATAGTGAATTATAAAAGGTGTACTTGACAGGTCTAAAAGGGCTCCGGGAGGCAAAATGGCCATGACAGGGACAGCCCCAGAGGTGATGCGGTACCAGAGCGTACGCCTTTACCGAGGGCCACGAGAGTGCGAACAAGTGAGCTCATAGCTCAACCCAACAAATGCGTGTTGGCTTTTCTCGCCATGGCCATGGGGATGTGCCAGTAAAGCCTTTGCCCTGATAGGCAATTCAACATTTCACAGCCCTGATCTGGAAACTCCCAGAGGGCTACAAAGGCACGAGGCCAGTCAAGCAGGGCCTCAGTCCGGAGAGGTGTGACACTGAGCACTCCATGCCTACGGGTGCAGCCTCCCAGGGCAGCCACTTCTGCTGGTTGCTCTGCGCTCTCACCTTAAAGCTCTGCCAAGCAGAGGCCCTTGTGCGGGCAGAGAAGCTGTCAGTGAGCACCGTGCTGGCTGGTGAAGAGTTTGTGGTGGCAGAAGAATGCGCTCCGTGTTCTAATTTCCAGGCTAAAACCACCCAAGTGTGGTTCCACAGGGTATGTGGAGAAAATCACACGCAGCTCATCTAAGGGGAATGAATTCAAAAGCCGCCGCTCAGCTCTGATGGAACAACACTTATTCTGGAAATCTGAAGGGGCCGTTGTGGGTGTGGCCTTGGTCTTGCTTGCCTTGTTCATCAGCGACAGTGGGACAGAAAAGCTCTGGAAAAAGTCCAGGAGCAAATCAACTCTATATAGCTACCTTCTACTCTTTGATAGTGGTCTTAGGGATTGTACCTCAGACAGAGACAGTAGAATGAATGGATTTGTGCCCCTAGTTCTTGGGAACTTGTAGTGGCATTTCCTCCTCCATCTCATTTAGATCATTAACAAGCAAAATATAGAATAGTTCCCTTCCCTGTTAATAATTTGGTTTACCACAGGAAGTCATAGTGGCAGAAACAGGATAGCAACTTTATGCTCCAGTTTACCAACTACCTATCTTCCCCTTCTTCTACTTATTTAAAACTTTCAGGATGTAATTTCAGCAAAGAAGTTTATTTCTCAACCAAAATCTGTTTCCCCTCAAACCTAATGCCCAAAAATAAAAAAATAAAAAAAAAATTGCAGATGGATTAAAAAAAAAAGGTCTATATAAAGGCTGGAGCAGTCAAGCCCTCATGAACTTTGAAAACAGACTACTCACACAAGAGATGGAAGAAAACATATACTTTTCAATTTCTCATGGAATACTTACCAAGACAGACCATATGCAGAGATGTAAAACATCTAAATAACTTAAAGACTAAAATCTTACAAAGTATGTTCTCTGACCACAATTATAAATTAAAAAAAAATCTTAAAGAGTACCAAATATTTGAAAGTTTTAAAATATATTTATAAATAAACCATGAGTCAAAAAGAAAGAAAGAAAAAAAAGAGAAAACAAAACAAAACCACAACGGAAATACAAAATATTTTGGACTAAAAATAACAAAAACACAGCAGCACATCAAAACGTGTGGGATGTAATAAGCAACATTCAGAGGGAAATTATAAACATATACACACCTCACACCAGAGTCTCAAAATATATGAAGTAAAAACTGTCAAACAAAAGTGAAAAATAGTTTGACAATAATAACTGGATATTTCAATATCCCATTTTCAATAATGAATAGAACATCTAGACCAAAAGATCAATAAGGAAATCAAAGACATGAACAATTCTCTCCACCTAAGAGACGCATATGGAACATTCCACTCAACAACAGCAGAATCTATAACATAGATTTAACCAGGATTTGAAGAGAGGGAAACGAATTGAAAGAACACAGAAAAAATTTAAAAAAAAAAAAATCGTTTCAGAAATAGACAAAAAAGAAGGAACAAAAAATTAAATGAACAGAACAAAGAAGGAATATTTTCGCACATTATAGAAGATTCAAGGGGTGCCTGGCTGGCTCAGTTAGTGGAGCATGCAACTTTTGATCTCAGGGTTTTGAGTTCAAGCCCCATGTTGGGTGAAGAGATTACTTAAAAAAAAGATTCAAGAGAAACTGGTAAATATTGAAAATAGATCAGATACTCAAAAACAAGAGAACTTTCCAGAAATAGAAAAAGTTTGAAACCACTGTACTGAAAGAAACAGACCTGAGAATAGCAAATGTGACGAAACAGTCTGGTATGAATTACTAGAACTTTACTGAACTTTAAAGAGGGAAAAATCCTTTGAGCATCTAAGCCAGATGTAGGCAAACTTTTTCTTATAAAACACGGTAAATATTTTAGGCTTGCAGACCACAGGGTGAAAGTTAAATGAAATTCAAATATCAGTGTCTAGACTATGCTCATTGGTTTCAATAGTGTCTATGGCACTGTATAGCAAAAGCATCCAAAAACAGTATGTAAGTGAATGAACATGGCTGCTGCGTACACTAAAACTGTGTTTACAAACACAGGCAGTCAGCCCATCTGCAGCAGTTTGCAGAACCTTGATGTAGGCATGCACTAAGTGCCTTTATAATGGAAAAAACATTAGACTACTCTAAATTTTTCAATCACAACACTTCATGCCAGACAAAAAATGGAGTAACATATTTAAAATAGAAGAAAATAAAAGAGAATAAAAGAAAAGAACAGGATTTTATATCCAACAAAGATAACAGGAATAATGGCCACAAACTATTATCAATGAGCAAAAACTCTAGGAATACTGTGCCTTTGGAGCTCTTGCCAAAAAATCAAACAGAGCACATGAGAAAACCAAACTGACTATAGATACTGCATAAGAACAAATGGTGAGTATCAAACATACAACATGTAGTTACTCATACAGCAAAAATAAAATGAAGGTTGAAAGGGAGAGCGTATAGTATGTATATTCTCTGACAATGTAAATATATTTAACTATTTAAAGGTGAGGACTGAATAGGAAGAACACAGCAAAAAGTGTATATATGGCTTCAATAATCATATGTATGATAACAGCACTGGCATTGCTATTGTGAGACTGTTAGAGGAG